GCAATAATTAAAGAAAGATTGAATAAGCAAGAAGGCACGAGCAAAGAAATCAAGGAAATGCTGGGAAAGAAAGAGGAATCAAGCACTCAGATTAAGAGCTTGCTGGAAGCATTGTTCACACGACTTCCCCTCCTCAATCTTAGAGTTTTTATCACTTGTTTTCTGTAATTACTATCTTGTTTCATCTGGCTCTGAAAATGTTATTGAAATCTGTTTTAATATAAATCATATTTTTTACTCTGTATATTAATGTTTAAATTGATATTTGATTCCTGACAAAAAGGGGGAGAACGTAAGATATTTTCAATAACAGTATATTGGGACAAGGTCTCAAACATTTTGAATATCGTAACTTCTCGTTTTTTTCTGAAAGCAAAACAGGAACAAAACTCTGATGAAGATAGAAGGAGATGCATCAAAAGCTCTGATCAGAATGAACTTCAGAGAAGTAATTCATCTCTATCTGAGTACTCAAATCAGAGGGAGACTCTCTAATGTTTTATGTTCTGTCTATTTTTATTGAAAAATCCTAGTTTTTGTCATCATCAAAAAGGGGGAGATTGTTAGAACATAGTTTGATTCTACAACCCTCGTAAGAGTTTTGATGAGAACAAACATAAAGAACAAATATGCACTCTAAAATTATATTCTATTTTGTACAGAAGTTATGACGGAAGTGGATAAGAAGTTAAGCTATAAGGTTTTTCCTGCTGTGAATGTAGACTTATATCAGAATGTTCTGATGAATGAAGATCAGAATTTGCGCTAAGAGAAAGACATTTTAACTCTGAACGGAAGTTTAACGCTGCAAACATGACCTTATGATTCTGACCTTCCAAGTTCTGAAGCTAAGCAGCAAGCAAATTCCTTAATGTTTTGAAGCGTTACTATTCATCAAAGTTGTATCAATTGCAACGGCTACAAACAGACAAGGATCTTCTAATTGAGGAAAGTGCATTAACTGCCAATTATCAAGTTTCCATTTGCACAAGATTGTTGCGCCTATTTAAACAAGGAACAAGGTTAAATCGTACACGATTTACATCACTGCCATTTCACAATCTCTCAATGCTGCTACTGCTTATTCAATTTATTCTCTAAATTGTGTAATACATCACAAGTTTGTGATACTGTTTTTGTAACGAAAAACATATTGTACACTACTTTGTTCTTACTTTTGTTAGTGAATTTTCTTGAGATAAACCGGGTTGTGATTGTACTCAAGAAGACTTTGGAAGTTGTCAAAGTAGATTTGTAATCAGTTTGATTAGTGAATTAAGACCTCGTTGGATAGAGGTGAAATCACTTTGGCTGGTGAACTAGAGTAGTTTGAGATCAAACGAACCAGGATAAAAATCATCGTGTCATTTGCATTGATTTTTAAGATTACAATTCAACCCCCCTTCTTGTGTTTTTCACTTTTTCATCTATTTGACAATAGCCTAGAAACCACGCATGATTAGAGTTTTTGTTGTGTCTATGTTTTCAAACCCGTGTTTTAATTGTTATTGTGTTGGTTGATTGCTTGAGGACAAATAATAGTCTAAGTCTGGGGGAGTTTGATACTTGAAAATGCATCGTATTTTCTGACTCGATTCACATGCTACTTAGTTTCATTTCTCGTTTTTATCATATTTTTATGTTGTTTTATATCGTGTTTCGGACATTTTCTTGTTTGTGAAGTAAAACACAATGGAATTGGAAAGGAGGAAGAAAGAGCAGAAAAAGAATGCAGAATATCAGCTCTATTGATGTGGCGGTCTCCACTGTGACCATGGCGCTTGCCATGACTTGCAGACACGTGACTTAATGAAGAGTGACTCATGGCAGTTGCCATGAGCCCCATGACGGTCGCCATGCACCAGGAAAACAGAGACGTGCAAAACAGACTTGGGCATGTTCTTCCCACTTCCCTATATTCTCTCATGGTAGTTGGACACGGTTTCAATGGAGAATCAGCCTTGTAACTCTATATATAGGCCTTAGATTCTTAGTTCTAGGTATCCAGGAACCATTAACGAAGCTCTGTCAAATTGGAAACTCAAAGTGTTCTCTTGGATCATAATGTTGTCATCATTTTATATAAAGTTTCAGTTCGTTATTTCTCGATCTATAGGTTTTATTTTAATTGCATTATTGTTATTGTTCTTTAATTTTGTTTAATTTCCATGTTGTTTCTTATTTCAATAATCATGTTTAATTTGCTTTCACTAAAAAGTATGTTCGGCTAAACTTCTAGAGTCCAATATGTGAGTATCGTCGATTCCGACAGAACTCGGTAACAAGTTGGCTTCATAATTTAATTTGAAAATTCAGTTTCGGTCTTTGTTTTTTAAACTTCGTTTAAATAGCCTTGTCACGAGAGTGAGAGGTTATTTAACATGATCTAGTCACGAGAGTGAGAAATTAATTAAGGTTCGAATCGGCACTACGAGAGTATGGGTATCTAATTAAATAGTAAGAACAGGGCATCGATTCCTAAAGAGGGATGGAGCATTTTAGGCATCAATTAGAACTTGTTCAGTTTTCAAAACGCGTTCCTTGATTCAAATGGGCGAGCGACAACAAAGTCCCATGGTTAAGAAACGTGACTTTATTCAAAATCACGAGAGTGTGAGATATTTTCTTTAAATTGAGATTTTCTACTAAATGTATCTTTAGTGTCAATAAAAGCCAACGAGTTACAGGGTCTCTGAAGTACGCGGAATACACATTCCAATCTCTCTTTAGTATAATATTTTTCAATTAAATTTAGTTTAGTATTAGTTTCCATTAATCCAATATAATTATTCGTCTTAGCTTTACATAGTAACGATATATATCATTAGTTTGATTATTAGTCCTTGTCAGTTCATATCTTTTAAAATTACGCGATTAAACAGTGCACTTGCAGTTAGTTAACCCGATAGACTCTTAAAATCACGATCACCAACTATCTAATTTAACGCAATCTATTAACCATAATCTTAGTAATAAGCTTGAAAATAGTGTTGCGCAAGCTAATGGGCCTGAATTCCTTAAAATTTTGAGGGCAGGCTGCCCTAAGAATTAATGTGATAAGGGTCTCATAAAGAGATGCGTGAAAGTTACATGTCACAAAAGAATCTGATATAAGTTGGGCAAGGTCATCTCCGACTATATGCCAAAATTATTTAAAGAAAGTACTCTAAAATCCATTATGGTCAGGCGCCTTGAAAGGATACATTTGATTCAAAGAATAAATGACTTCTTCCATCGTTCCCGGTTGAGTCGAAGAGTGTTGGACTTCTTTAGTAAGACTCGTAGCCATAATTGAGTCACCAATACTAACAGCGAGTATAGGAGATGTAAGACAGAAAAAACCTTTAAAAAAATTAGTGTTTCTTCCTTGAGAATAATATCATCATTGCCCCAAATATGATGAAGGTTATGGACTTTATTTCTCTTCCGCTTGATTACAGGCTTGGTGTGAAAAACTTGGTGTTCTGATCTTCCAATTTAATCAAATAATCTCTAGCCTTTTAATATCAATGAATCTCCTTTTGCACAAGGATCTCATTATACTCCTGTTGGAGATAAACTAATCTTGTTGAATCTATTCTCTCCAAAGAGCGTTGGATACCCCTGAGTCTCTTCTCAATGTTATGCTTCTGTTTACTGATATTGCCAAAAAAATTCCTTATTAAAAATAATAGAATCGTATTGCACATTTTAAAGCCAAGATACAATGTCATATTAGAATTTCTCCCAAGTAGTCTAGACTATATTGGAGTATTTCAAATGAGTGATTCAAGCTTCCTCAAAACTAAAAGGACGTGGACCGTGGTCTTGGAGGGAAAGGGAAAATCTAAGGAGATTTGTGTTGCGATCAGAATGAAAATTACACAACACTTTAACATATGCATCAGGGAAAGCCATGCGTCCAGCAACGTCGACTAGAGCCATGTCCAACTTACGATAGACCTTTTGATTATAAATACAATGCTTATTCTAAATAAATTTTCCACCAATCATGTCTACTTCAACTAAATTACATTTATCAATAACATTCAACAAAAAAATATCCTAGAATGATTAAATTTACCTCCTTTAAATTCACTTGGATGAATGATGTTGTTAAAATCTCCAATCAACACCTAAGGATCATCAATAGTATTCTTCTGGTCAAGGAGATGGAGCCACAGGTTAAAGTGAGAAGTGTACACGGGACTAGCATAAATTTTAGTTACATACTACGAGGAAGGTCTCAATAATAGCGTGACCGTAATTATATTCATAAAGACATCATGCACGACAGTTACAATGTTACTACCACTAAATTATAACAAATGTTCTTCTCAAGAAATTTAATGACTAACGCCTCCTTCTAAAAGGTTGCACATTTCCTAGAAAAATTCTCATGCATCGTGACTTTTGATAGTAATTAGTTTCCTCTTTCAAAAGAGACTTTCATAAGTCCCTTTTCAATTAGTTTCACTCTCTCCTTCACTACCTTCAATGAGAATATCCCATAATGACAGTCTAAGAAGCTTAGATGCACTCCATCCGGTGGCTTGACCAACATCAACGTGAAAGTGACAAAAACAAAAGACTATATATACGTAAACTTCTTCACTGTTCAAAAGTGTTGCTATTAATGTGGCTAGATAAAATAACCACCAAAAATCTCTCATTTATCGTATTCAAGATTCTCATGTTAGAACATGTTGGTCAAATAAACTCGAGTATTTGTAACATTATTGTTTATCATATTAATTTATTAAATGATTAAATGCTTTTACTAACTTGTATGTGTTCGAAAGGTACAAAATAAGGTTGTAGAGATAATGTGTGATGTTGATTTGTTGTATAACAAGTATGAAAAAGCTTTCCCTGAAAAAGTCTTATATACTATTTTATCACACATTCATTGGTCATCACAAGATGCAATTCAATATTTACACAAGCATATCACCACAGGATATTTTTCTTGCCCTTATTCTTATTCATATTAAGACAAGTACATTATATTTTTGCAAAGCTTAAAGCCTACTAGTGATGTTAACGTTTCGAACTTTATGCGATTTAGATGCTGAATCTTTAGGAACAATAACAGTGAGAACTCCATTTTCAACATGTGCTTTAATCTGATCCAATTTCACATTCTCAGGCAATTCAATCATCCTTGAGAAACCCTCTTTTCCACTCCCTCTCTCAGCTACATGCCAAACAACGTCCTTTCCATGATTCTCTTCTTTCCCACTTTCTCCTCTAAGGTGCAAAATATTCCCTTCCTCAATCTGCAATTTTATCTCATCTTTGCTTAATCCTATATCCAAATCACCCATCACCCAAAACTTAATCAAAATCATATAACCAACAAAAAAGATTATATTTTTACAACAAAACAGTCAAGAATCCATTTGGGTCATTGAAATTGAAAGAGAAAAAAGTGTTATTTATTTACCTGGAACGTTGATTTTGAGGATATGTGAAGTTGGGGACTCAATCCAATCCAATAGTGCTGTTGTTGAGCCAGGGTATCCTCTGTAAATCGGAGGATTGCCCAAGAAAAAACGTCTAAAAGGGTATCCAAAAATAGTGTCAGCCATTGATTTGATACTCTTCTAGTACAGTAATAAGAGATAATCGAATAATGTTATTGCAGAAGTGAAGAATTACTATATATAATGTTGTTGTTTCAAATTTAATGAGACACTCCACTCCAGAATGTTCTTTGATTTGATTATATGTTCCACATTCATCATTCTTCTAGGTTCTTCCTGTTATGGAACATGATAAACTATATCTGGGTTTAATTTCTAGGCCCGTGCTTTTTGGGCCCGGTAATAAGTTTCTACCCGCACCCAGTCTCTATACCCCTACATTTCTTCTAAATATATTATTTGCTCCTCATGTTTTTCACATTAAATATGTGGTAAAGATCAAATTTCTGTAATTTCTAAAACTATTAAATTTTTAAATTTTTTAAATATAAATTTATTTTAAAAAAGAAACTTAAATACACTTCTAATATCTTATTTAGATGTTTTTAACTTTTTAGTTCATCTATTTTAAAATCTGATTTTTTGTCCCTAACTTTACTTTAGCCACAAAAGCAATTCCTGCTTTTTCTAAACCTTTGATCAACATGCATGATGAAAGAAGTTAGGTAGGACCTTGATGTTGTTGCCAACTCAGTCGAACTAAATGTTGTTTATGCAAAGAAAGTTCATAAGAAATATGCATCCGAGTCTTATATATGCCAAAAAAATGTTTGGTGGTTTCTAGCTAGGGGTGGTAAAAATGGACCCGGTCTGTTAGACAATATCCTTTTTTCCTATACTTTCCCGTGGGGCGGCTCAAGGTTTTAGATTTGCAATTTCAAATATGCAATACTCTGTTGTTTACCGTGAAATTTGATAAACAACTGCTAGTTTCTTATAAAAAGTTACTTGCAGGATCAACTAGTGAATCCTAGAATATAATGCATAAATTTTTCGTAAAATGATACAAATTTGTGTAAAAGTAAAGGATTTCGATAAGGATGAAATCTAGGGTCTTGAATGCAAGAAATAAAAGTAAAGTTTACTAGAAATAAAAAGAACTTTGAAAGGACTAAAAGTAAATAGACTAGAATGCATAAAAGGATAGATTTAAAGTAAAATAGTTTGCATTGAATGAAAATTGTGTCTGAATGCATACATTGCACTCGAATGACTCGTTTCTCATTTCGCTCGGGTATTTTGAGTATATTGAGTTTTTGTAGTAAATTCAACACATTAAATTCTAACACTAAAATCCATATTTATATGTCTAAATAACTATAACAAACGATCTTCTTTCTATTGATTGACACATTTGTTTTCAGTCACTTCGCCTTTGCTCTTGCATCCACACATCCTTCCAAAACAATAAGATCAAAAGGTAGTTATCTAGTCATGTTTCACATTCCAACTATCTATGTCGGAATGGTCCTTATTTCACCCTAAAGAATCTCTAAGTCCAAAATACTACTAAGTACACATGGACTTCAACATTTCCTTCTGGAAATATCCATGTTAAAAACTTTTCAACACGTTTGTCGAAAAGCACTACTAGAATCATCCAAATTCTATTAATTGTTTCGCAATCTTCTTCTTGATATGTTGAGATTTGAGATATGTCTAAAATCCCAGCTAACAAATTGTCCTTCAAAAATGTCACCTTCGACCAACGGAAGATAATAACATTTTTTAATACTTCAATACTGCAAACAACACTGTGTTGTACCCTAAAATTTGCTCTCTTGTGTTTCAATTTTAATAGGCCTATGCTTCATCATCATACACACTCATACAGTGCCTTGGTTACATGGTTATGGCATCAAGGTATCTTGTGCTAATAGTTTTCTTCAATCAGAGAAGAGAGAGATGATGTTTGAAGCAATAGATAATAGATCCTTTATATCAGGATATACTCAAGCTACAATACTTCAATACACTCCCAAAGTGCTTTAGTATCACTTCTTGATCATCATATGATTGGGGGTTTCAAGAGGTTTGAAAGGATCACAAACTCCTATTTGATTAGACTTAAACTAGGGTTTTGGTTAAAGGATGTCTGAAGCTGACTTTTTGAAAAAAACATTATGCTATGTTTCAATATGTGCTTTAGGGTATGCATGTGGGTATTATTGATCCTTACAAATTTTCTCAGAAGATTAAAATTGACAGATAAAGAAAACATGACTTAGTTGACTGAAGAGTCAACAAAAATCAAAGTGAAGTCAATTATGGAGAACTTGTGGTCAACTGTGACTCGTCAAGTCATTTTCATGAAAATATGAGAATTTATCAAGATGAATCAATAAAAATTAATAAGATCTCAAAAGTGGTGAAAATTAGGGTTTTATGAATTTTTCTAAGTGTGAAAACACCATATTTATATGGTCATCTTGTAAGATATATATATATATATATATATATATATATATATATATATATATATATATATATATATATATATATATATATATATATATATATATATATATATATATATATATATATATATATATATTATCATTGAGTTAAAATGTGTGATTAAAGGCTCAAATTGAAGGTGAGGCTTCCTACTACAAGTTTGTAGAATGAATGGATTCTAAAAGAGGCATAGATTAAGAGGTATGAGTGTGAGAAGTTAATGATTCAACGAGCTTGAAATGTTTGACACTTAGTAAATTTTTGAAGGGTTTTCAAGTGTGAGACTTTAAGAGGATTTTCCATGGTGTTCCATGCATCAATTCAAAACAATTCCAACACTAAAGATGTTCTATCATTTGTACTATTTCTCATGATCCCAAGAAGTAAGCATTTAGGGCATTGTGCATCAAGATAGAAGTGCAAGAAGTAAGGATCTCAAAGATATCTAAATGACAAACACTGCATAATTTCTCTAAGTCTGAATCAGTTTTGATGAGGGACATTCAAGGGCATTTTCATGAGGTTGCAAGCATTGTTTCAAGATGGGTCCAACATCATGGTTGTTCTCCTTCATCTCCTCTTTTGTTTGCCACCTGGATTGCATCAAGTAGAGCCTCATAAATCAAGTTTTGCTCACTTAATGATAGCTGCATTTTCATGTAGCTCGTGGTTTCTAACTTGGTCAGAATTTATATCATAAAGCTATTTGTTGGTCCATAAGTATTAATGAGACTACAACCACATGCATCTTACTTATGCATCTCAAATTACTCAAAAAAAAGCCAAGCAAAGGCTTATCACATGGATGCATATCGTTTGGAGGATAAGCAAAAATAGAAGATGCTATTAAATATCTTGTGTATTAAGACTAGGATGCCAGCTCACATATTGTCTCATTCTTTTATTCTCTTATTCTATTCAATCAAAACAACAACAATTGCACATCAAAAGAGCTAACCCGCGGCCATACACTACACTCTCCATTTTCCTCTTCATTTTAGAGTGAACACAAAAGGGAATTCAAGCTGAGAATCAAGTAACCCCGTGCGCCCAACTCAAATCAATTATAAAACCAACAAACTCACTCTCGCTCTCTTATCTTCGTCAACAATAAGCTCTCTCATTCTCTCATCTTCATAAACCAAAAGATATATCTCTCTCTCAAGCTTCCAAAAATCTCTGAAACTTCTTCTCCCTCTGGTTTTCTTGTTGGAAGCGCCTCCAATAAAGGCTAAGGGAGAATATTGTAGAGTTATCTGCTCCTGCTGCTTGAGAATCAAGGTGCTATAGACGTATTCCATACAGTAACGCTCTAAACTTCACAGTTCATTCATAGTAGTTTCTTGACATGATTTAAGAGCATTCATTGCATCTTAAGTCTTACCTTAGCGTAGGCATTGGTTTAGCATAGGATCTGTGGTGTTTTCTTGTGATTTCGTTTATTCCATATTTTTTGGGCATACTTTCGTTTGCATTTTCTTGATGTTAGAGTCGTGATCCATGAAATCTAAGGTTGTATTCATGATCCTTTCGGAAAATCGAGCCAGATAGTGGTTTTGGTGTTTTGTTTCAGGTAAGTGTGGCCACCTTCGACGGTGGGGATGTATTGAGGAAGACGATCGGAGATGAGCTCTGGCGTCAATGTTTCATGTTATAACACGTGAGGTGTCACGGTACTATTGACTCATCCGTTAGTTGAATAAAACCTGATTAATAATTGAATAATGTAATAAAGAATAAAAAAACAGAAATAGTTTTGTTTGTTTGAACTCTAAACTGTAATGGACTGGGCTTGAGTACTTTTGTTATTTACGCCCCTGCGTATTGGGCCTTTGTGGCATCATATCTGGGTTTAGTTCTTTTGGAGAATTTGGTTGTGGACCCCCCGTTTGTTTGTTTTCAATTTTAATTGAGAATTAGACTTTTTCCCCATAATAAAAATCAGTAAAATTTCATTTTAGATTCTTTAATGTGTTGAGAATTTTAAGATGATTTTTTCAATTATATTTTCCATTTAATTTGATTATTGATTGGATTAATTTTGTAAAGGTATGCTAAGTGAATGTCTTTAGGTTGTGACCTATGATTGATGGCTTATTTAAGTTATTTTTAAACCAATATTTTTACCATGATTAGGAGCCTAAATTCTTAGGGTTTGTACGAAAATTTGATGCAATTTTGTTGAGGTTTTAATTACTTGTTAGTTGAATTTTGATAACCCTTGATTCATACCTCAATGTGGATGTATATTTGTGTTAATTAATTGATTTGAAGCACGCACTTGTGCAATCCAGCATGGACTTTCTCTTAACACGATATTTGATGCTATAACCTTTTAGGGTATTAATATCATGATCATTTGATCTCTTTAGGTCATGCTTTAGTTAAATCTTTTGTTGTGATAAAATTGTGAGTAGTTGGTTAACTTTTTGATCTAGTCTTGTAAGATGATTCATGTGCAATCTTTGATGCTTTGTAATATGGTTGATGTAACTTCTTTGTTAGTTTGTTCACATGTATAAATGCCTCTTGACTTGATTGTTAGGTCTATTAGGAGTCATATGTGAAGTGAATCATCATGTTGGGTTAGGGATTGATAGTTGATCAATTTTGACCTAATTTTGGCACCTTGTTTGCTTTGATGCTTCTTAATCTTGTGATATTTAGTTAATATTAATACTTTGTATATGCTTATGAATTGTCATGCCTATGTGTCCAATTTCTTAATATTGTGTTCATTTGTTTACCATGGATAGTTGATTCCTTTTGAGGATGATATTGATTGATGATTTCTTAGTAGCTTAACTATGTTTTGAGTATGATGTTTGGTGAATCCTCTTGCAACCATGAGATATATTTTGAATTGAATTATTTTGTAAACTATGCTTCATCATTTTTCCATGCTTTAATCTCAATGCCTTTGTTATTTGTTGCTTAGTTCTTAGGAACTAGTTATGGATAGTGGTTGGTCTTTTGACCTAATTCTTGTTTAATCCTCTTGTGCATTTTCTCAACTTTTGAAGTATGTTTGTGATGATATTTTTATGATATAGCCACTTACTTGTGTTGATTCTCACTTTGTTTACTTTAAATCATATTTGTATGCCAAGTTTGAATAAGTGATTGATGCCTAAGGCTTTGCATGCTAGTGCACCTTGTTCCTTGCTTTTGCTTAGGTTCTAGAACCTCTAATGTTGAAACCTTTTGAGTATAATCCTTAGAATATTTGTGTGTGTGTTTAGGTTTTTACTTTGACATATATTTTCTTATTTGTTGATGACATGAAGCATTCTTAGAGGTTTAGCACTGTTTGCTAGAAACTTGTTGTTGAGGAATGATCACTTCATACTTAGGTGTGTGTTTGGCTTGTGTGCCATTTATTTTTGTTGCTTAGGTTTTATTTATTACCACTTTATCTTATTTTTGTTGTGAACGAAGAGTCACTCTGTTTTTCTCCATAGCTGAGACCACAACATTTCTTTTGTTTATTTGGTATGGACGAAGAGTTACTCGGTATTTCTCCATGGCTGAGATCACGACATCGTTCTTTTGTTTTGTTGTGAATGAAGAGTCACTCAGTCTTTTTCCATAGTTGAGATCACGTCATCTTTCTTTTGTTTATTTTGTTATGAACGAAGAGTCACTCAGTTTTTTCTCCCTAACTGAGATCGCGACACGTTCTTTTTGTTCTTTGTTGATTGCTTGTACTCACATATACTCTTAGAAGTTTGGTTCCATCTTGTTCAAGGTGTGAATTAAATAGACTTTAGGTTTCAAACCAAGTATGACAACATTAGGTATAAGTTCCTGCAATCCTTTCCCTTAGGTCCAAGATGCATGTTAACTTTTAGGTTAATTTTCCTTTGATATCCTAACTCTAGAACCATTGTAAATGATAAAATTAGGACTTGGGTTTCCACTTATATTTTGTATTCCCTTTTGCATTGCATCTTAAAGACTAAAACTTCTTTTTCTTATAAGAAAACTGAAAACATTCTAACAATACTCAAACATTTTCGTAAGTAAAGGGGAAGTACTCAGATACCTCTGCCCTTGGAGGACCATTTGAGGTATTCTCCTACAAAAAAGGCTCAACCAAACAAATCTCTTTTTCCTTCGGGCTTTTCTGTTAAAAATATTTTCATAAAAGTACATGTTATTTCCATTCTGTGAAATACGACGCGTAAGTCTCCAAAGGTCGAGTGGGAAAACGTCAACTGCTAGAATGTGAATGTAATATTGTCTGATTAAAAAACCACAAACAAATCAATTCTTTTTCAGAAGAACTACGGTGCTCTGATTCCCTATTGTACAATGGGGATACGTAGGCATAAGGTTTTGAAACTGAGGCGAGCGTAATAATAAAAACTTTCTTTTTGTTCTTTAACAACTCATTCATACATTCCCTTAGCAAGTAAGCATTAGATATAACAAACCCTTTGATTAGAACAACTTGAGTGGATCTTGTGGAGTACCATAGACGTGAGGAGAGGTATTACCTTCCCCTTGTGTAACCTACTTTCATACCCCGCTCTTTGTTCTGAGACCTTGTTCTTGCCCATTAGAGATTTACTCGATGTTTTCCTTTCCCCCGATGGGATAAATAACATTTAATGGCGACTTTGTTTAAGTCGGTATTTTCTGCGGTAGCGACACACTATACTGACATCACAATCATTATGACTACTTTCTCAAAGGTCACTTTGAGACGTGTGAAGTTTAGAAAATCGACTCATGTCTCCGGTTTCCAAGGAGAACGCAGGCTATAAAAAATCACCCGCTTGTCTGAACCCCTAGGTGGGATACATGTGTCCCACGATTAAATTCCAAGTGTCAAAGAGAAACTAAAAAGTTTCTAATTTCCTCCTATAAAGTGTTCGGTCTTCTTCATTTCTTCCTTTTCCCTTTTCCAACTTTTTATCTTCTTCAAATTTCTAAATTTTCTACTGCCCATAAAAAACAAAAAACAACCCTTTTCTCTAAATCTTCCAACATTTTACACCATGGTTTCTTCCAAGTCAAAGAATTCAAAGGAACCCAAGGGCTCAAAGTCAGCTTTACCTCCTGCTACTAGGATCTTTGGTCCTCTTATTACTGTTAATTAAGAGTATGTTCCTGAACTTTCACTACAAGAGGAAAAATTGTGTATATATAAATCCTAAGTATTGATCCATTTATCTATTCCTGGAGAAACTCATGCGCTTATGGGTCTATTGCCTGACCCTAAAGTAAGTGTTGAGAAAATGAGGGAATTTTTTCCTTCTTACCGTCGTACCAATCCCATTTCCATCTTGAAAAAGCCAACGACTAGTATGGAAAATCTTAGTGCCAAATCCATTGTCCAAACAAAATTCTCTAAGGCTAAACCCATCGGTGATATGAAAAAGCCTAAGGAAAAACCTGTAGCTAACACAACGGATTCCAAAGACAAATTTTTTGTTGAAACAATGTATCCCATAGATTTATGTTATATGAGTGACAGCCTGTGAGTATTTCACTCTGCTCCTTCGATGAAAAATCCTGAGGACTATTTGTCTTGGATGAAAAAGTCGAAAATAAAAAATCCCAAACTTGGAAAAACATGGGTATCTACGATCTGATTCCGCTATCGAAAGTAGGTCACCTTATTGCCAAAACATGCTTGTCTCTTACTTGTACTTTTGAGAAAGCACAAATAATACCTTTTAACTCCCTTGTGGTATGATCACAATAACACCCTTCTACATTGCGACCATCACTGACCTTTGACCAACTGGGGAGGCTTTCGACCCAAATGACAAGAATGAAGACACCACCAAATTCAACATTGATTGCGCCTACTTCAGCTACTACATAACTAATCATCACGACAGTGATACTGCCTAAGTATCTGATGCATATCACATTATGTTGTACCCTAAAATTTTCTCTCCCGTTTGAAGACAAATTATTTCAATAGGTATCCTCATGCTCATGAAGATCTCAAACACTCAAGACTACTCAAGGATTGACCAGACAAACTATCCCCATAAGTAATTGACCTACAGCTAGGGTTTTTGCTTCTCTTAAATGAAATTGAGTTTCTAATGCCTCAAGTGGACTTCATGTTTTCTCGTATGCTTCAAAAATCCTCATACCAAATTTCAAGCCTTGCAGCACAAGTTTGCTCATTCAATTAGTCAGATGGTTGAAAATCAACTATATTGGACAAAAAGTCAACTTTGACCAATTTACAGTCAAACTTCAAAAAATTTGGTCAACATCAACATTTTGAGGTCGCATTCATCATTTTATCAAGGGTTGATCATGATTCATCAAGAAAACTCAAGATTCATCTAAAGTTAAAAGTTACTAAATTAGGGTTTTCTTAAGAAGAAGTCAACTGAACTTTGACCAGGCATAAATTTCACATACTTCATTAGAAATTTATCAACCAAAGCCTATATTGAAGTAAATTTAATTCTCTACAACTATGATTCCCTAAGCTCAATGCCAAAAATGCTTCATTTGAGAGATATGGGCCAAAACATTACAGGTTATTTTAAAAGTCAACAAAAGGCATCTTTTGTTAAAGAAATTTACATCAAGTTAAAGTCTTCAAATGAAAAAATTTACCAATATAAAAGTTATAAGAGACATCTTGAGCTTTCCAAAAAGTCAAAAATCACCTTCATATGA